GTGCCAGGTCCGTGGTGCCGGTTATTTTTTAGTATATGTGCTGCCGAAGAGAGCACAGTGCCGTTTATTTTTAAATGGCCAGTGCACATCATGGCAGCTCCTGCGTTGAGCATCTGTCCCCTCATGGTCAGTGCGTATCCTAGCTACTGGTTGGACTGATGGACACTTAGTATTTTATATATATAGATTACTGGAAAGATGAAAAGCTCTCCTTCCCTAGCATGACAAACAAAAGCATGACTTTTGATCATAGACTGATCAAAAAGATTTGGGTGCCTGATACCTTTTGTGTCCATTCTAAAAGATCCTTCATCCACGACATGACTGTGGAGAACAGCATGCTGTGCATACACCCTGATGGCAATGCCCTCTTCAGTCTCAGGAGAGGAGGGCTGTCTGTGCCTTGGACTTCCTGTCCCTCGACTGCTACCTGGTAGCATGTCAAACTCAAAGGCTAACATGGGGCAAATAAACAAGGTTTAAGTTTATGTATGCCGCAAAAAAGCAAAAGCTTCAATTTTCATAGAAATGTATGTTTATTTCGATAGGGATATGCTGAACACAAAGGGCTGAAATAAATGAGTAATCATTAACATAAAATAACATTTTAATAAAAATTAATATTTTTTCTTGAACATTAACTTGCCAGATACTGAATAACTGCACAAATTAATAAGCATAACGCAAATGAACCTGTTTTTCTTGTTCTCCGAAAGCGAAATATTTCCTGTTGCGCACACCAAACAAGTCAGTACAAGGCTAATGATGAGGCAATCGGCTGCTAAAATATTCGCTGCTAGTATTAGTGGAGAGAAATGGTGCACCTGTGCATAAGGCGCGTAAGTGAAATGAATGCAACACGATTATAGTAATTAGTTATTAGCAGAACTTGTAGTTCAAGATTAATAATTATGTATAACAGGATATTGTAAAAATTAAGTTATGAAATTTTTATTAAAACTTTTCTAATATACCGTTATATTGGCTGGGCTGCAAAAATATTCATTGTGGGCCACATGCGGCCCGCGGGCCATGAGTTTGACATGCTTGGTCTACACCAAAGCTGGTCTTACTTTACACTAAACTCAACACTGCTGTCTGTTTAGTGATGCTGGAAATTAGGACACAAGTGAAACATGTGATTTTTTTTCTGGTTTAACTTCCAGATTTTTTGTTTTTGTTGTTTATCCTCACCCAAGGATATTTTTTCCATTGATATTTAGAGACAGTAGAAGGGAGGGGGGTAGGGGGAGAGGAGAGACACAGAGTCAGACAGAGAGAGAGACAAAGAGACAGAGACAGAGAGAAACATAAACACGAGAATGACAGACACACGGATTGGTTGCCTCCCCGATGTCCCCCAAGTGGGGCTGGAGATTGAATCTGCAACCCAAGTATGTGCCTTTGATTGGGAGTCGAACCCTCAATGCTATGGTGTGAGGGCCACTGCTCTATCCACTGAGCCAAACCGGCTCACCAACTTCACCCCATCTTTGCACCCCACCAAACAGTCTTGGATTAGCTGAATACTTTTCTTAACTATCTCCTTCATTTTTCATGGGAAGGTCTAGTCATCATTTAAGTTCCTGCTTATTTCCTCACTTCCTTTTCATGTGTTTTTATTCAAAACATTAGTTCTGGCACTGTGCTATAACAGTTCTCCATTTTTAATGTTCCATATGTCATTTTAGCCTAATGAATCCTAAGTAGCTTATCATAAGCAATTCTAAAAAATGTTTGGTACTAAATCTAAGCAATTTAATTTTTTCCATGTCTTAGAAATCTCAGAAAGATCCTGAAGGAAGCTGAAAAAATGGCTCTTCCAAAGATACCCATCTCCTCGTCCCTGGAATCTATCAGATTACTGTATATGGCAGAAAAGGGTCTTCGCAGATGTGATTAAGTTAAGCATCTTGAGATAGGGAAATTTTCCTGGATTATCTGGTTGGGACCCTATTGAAATGATAAAGCAAAAGTAGAGGCAATGTTGTTACAGGAAAACTGGACCAGAACCAAACAGCGCTCTGAGAGTTTGGAGTTACACTTTATTCACCGCGGCGGGCTCAGGGAAATGAATCCAAATCTAAGCAAAGCTACAAGCAGAGCTTCCCTTTTTATAGAAGAGCCAGCCCTTTGTGTGCTTGCCGGCGGCAGCCTTGAAAACTACACAGTTCTATCCAATTGAAAAATGCACCCGGCATGGCATTGGGTGTATCTAGTCTCTGGCCTACAAGGTCAGAGAGCTAAGTTTATCTCCCCCCTTATTCAAGCAGGCTAGAAAGCAAAGTTACTTTTTCAGAATATAGAGGCCACCCAAAGAATAGCAGAGAATTCCAAACAGTAGCTTTACAGAATAGGGGTTTTCCTTCACACGATTGCCAGACATTTCATGAAAGCTGTCAATGTTTTAAAAAATGCAATGAAAGGAAAGTACTACTTTCAATAGTGCTTTTAATTAGGAGTAAAGTAGGTCTGATAAGTACTGGAGTCAAGCTTCACTAGGAATCAACCGTATTAAGTTAATTATTTCAATGAAAGGATGTTCCTTAAAGAAGTAACTTAGTTGATTGTCCACATCTTGCACATTCCAAACAAAGACGGCCCTGGCTCAGCGCCTGGGAGATAACCTAAGCCCTTGGAACATCCTGTCTGATTAGAGTGTCTTTGTTTATCGAGCCCTTGGGCTACAGCAGATTGTCTATATTATTTAAGATGGGAGCGGGGATGGGGGGGCAGGAGGGGGCCTTGACCACATGTGATGGTACCTCTAGGGGAGCAGGAGACTGGTCCGCCATACCAATACCGATGTGCCCAGCCCTCACGGGATTCTTTCACCCCTAAGGTTTGGGACCGTCCCTGGTTGGCAATACTCCGTGGGTGCTGTCGCCCACCACTGCTGGGAGAATGCAGCACTGTCCACATAACTCCACTAGAACAGGACAAGTGGAAACTCCTTCTGGTCTCTCCTAGACCCTGCCCCAGGCCCCTCTTCCATTGTTGATGTTAATCTGTATCCTTTCACTGCAGTAAAGGTAACTGTTGAGATAACAGCTTTGAGGAGTTCTTGTCACTCCGTTTAGCTAATCACTGAACTCAGAGTGATCTTGGGGAGTCCCAGAACACAGGAGAACTCAACATTATTGTCTGCACAGCTATTCCAGCCACCAGCAGAGCCAGGCCAAGCCCAGAGCCAGGTCACCTGGTTCCACCTGTTGTGCCCAGATTTCAAGATTCCCAAGGGCCCACCAGGGAGCCAGCGAGTCCGATGCAAAAGCAAAGACTTATTTATTTCAAACCTAGGTTTGG